AAGGCAGACGCTTAACCAACTGAGCCACCCAGGCGCCCCCATAAGATTTTATTTTTAAGTAAACTCTACACCCAGCATGGGGCTCGAACTCACTACCACGAGATCAAGAGTCTCATGCTCCACAGACTGAGCCAGCCAGGCACCCCCAATATATACATTCTTAAGAAGTTGGGGAAGATAGGAGAGGTATAAGTACTAGAAGGAAAGGTTTAGAAGTTAGAATTGATGACAAAATGCCTATGAGTCAGTAGATAATGTAGGAAAAAGTCCATTTTCTATCCTATGTTAAGTAGGATACGCAGTCTCAAATAAGATGGATTGCAGTATCTATCTTCATATTTTTGGGATTTGCTGTTCTAGAAGCTTTCATGTCAAATAATTTTCAGTTATGCTAGAGTCTGGGATCAGATGCCTTTTTACTTCATTTCTTATATTTATTTTTCTCCCCATTTAAAAAATGTTTTGGAGAAGGGTTTATTAAAATTTTTTGAAGATTAAAAAAATCTTTATATTATGAAATGCTTCAGGCATTTGGAAGAAAGAATAATTATAATGAACACCCAACATCTCAATTTAATAGCTGTTAACATTTTGCCTTGTTTGCTTCATCTACTACTGCTATTTTTACTACTTTGATTTTGCTGGAGTACATTAAAGTAAGTTATAGACAGCATGACATTTCCCCTTTTACTAGGTAAATAAATATCTCTCAAAAATAAGGATGTTTTTCTACATAATTAGGAAATCATTTATACCTAACAGATTTAACAACGATTTCCAGAGATCTGTAACATTTTCAGTTCTGAATTACAACCAATGAGCCTCAATGTCTGAATAGTATTTTTGTTATTAGATTTAAGGAATAAGCAAGATAAAAGGAAAAACTAAGAAGTGGATTTACAGAACAGGAATGTAGGAATGTGGTACTGGCTGAACACAAAACCGTATGTTTAGGTTAGCATACAAAATTCTTTCAGGTTCCTAGGTGTTCATACTAAATTTGACTGGGATTCATGAACCCTGGGTTCCAAGTATATCTGACTTTGTGGTTAATTTTAGAGGAATAAATTTCTTCCATTGCTTTACATATTTAAAATGTGAGTAGTCTTATGTTCTGTGACATTGAGATGTTTTAAAAAATAATTGTACTTTATGTTCATAAAAATATTCTATAATTGCATTAAATTGCTAATGACGATCTTGAAAAAATTTTTCATAAGTAGAATACCAGATTATTAAATTAGAGCATTTAGTTTTAGTTCATATGTAGTCTTTATTAGTTAGTCCGTGCTACCTAAAAGTTAAGATAAGCTTTATGTAAACTATTGGTTTTTCCCTATTTCAGGTTGTCTTGTCAAAGTTTGTTAGGCAAATGGGTGACCTATTGCCTCCAACGATTTACATTCCTTATTTGAAAATGCTCCAGGGATTGGCCAATGGGCCCCAGTGTGCTCACTACTGTTTCAGCCTGCTTAAAGTCAATGGTAGTAGTCATGGTAAGAAAAATCTGGATGTTGTCTAAGTTTGTTGTGACATTCTTGAGTTCACTATCCCCCTGCCTATTAAAGAATATTAGTTATTTGTGCTAGGTTCTACCAGCTGTATACATTATTTTTATAATAATGGGAAAGAAGCACATTAGTAGCTTTATGCGTTAGTGATGGTCTCACAGATTGGGCAGTTTTACTGTTTGCTTTATAAAATATAATTCAGTTTAAGAAATCAGAATTGATACATAAAAACTTTGAAGAACCCATCTGGTACTCAAAACAGAATATATACCCTGGCCACATGAGTTTGATTTTTTAAATTCATGTTCATAAGTACTTGTTTTCTAAATTTCTGTACTTACAGTTTCTCTGTCAACCCTCCCAATTTCCTCATTTAATTTTCAGACTTGAGTCTGGTTAAATTTGCAACACTGCAAAAGAGAAGAGAAAGAAATAGTTATTAAGCATCTGTTTTGTTAGGTAGATATTATTACTTTCATTTTTACATGTGAGGAAACAGGTTTAGAGAAGTAATTTACCCACGGTCATGAGGAGGAGCAGGATTGGAACTGAGATCTGCCAGCACTAAGGCCAGTGTTCTGGCTACTCTGTCAAGGCCTGTTTGTAGCGTAATTTAAAATCTAGACTGCACTTACCTCTCTCTCTGGGAATTTAAGCTCACATTTAGGAATTATCTGATGGGGAAAGTAGTCCTACATAATTACAGCACAACACAGAGAACTCTTATGGATATAAAGCAGATAACTGACACCCAAAGTAATTTGCCTTTGCACTTACATGGGCACCACCCATTCTTAGCCCTGAGGAAAAATTAATCCAGAGTTTTAGTTTATAGAGGAATTCTAACCCTTTTATAACACATTCCTTAATTCAGACAACACACTCTACTTATCTAGGACAAAGGCAAAGTTTATTGCTTTAAATTTATTTTCCTCCCTCGATTTCCAAGCACATCCTTAGACATTCTTGAAACAAAATTCTGTGCTGTCTTTACAGTTGAAAATATTCAGGGAACAGGTGGCAGTCCTGTTTCCTGGGAACATTTCTTTCACTCCTTAATGCTTTACCATGAGCACCTCCGGAAGGATCTTCCGAGCGCAGATAGTGTCCAGTACCGTCACCTTCCTTCACGTGGCATCACCCAGAAGGAGCAGGATGGATTGATTGCTTTTTTACAGCTCACCTCCACCATCATTACTTGGGTAATTATCATCCACAGCATGTGAGAGCATAATTTTACTTGTTTTCTAGCACAGGGGCATTTTAAGGAACTCCCAAATTTTCATGAAATGCTTGAAGTTTATGAGTGATGAATTTTGCATGTATAGAATTCTGTTTTTAAGCTCTGTGTTTCTTTACCTTCAGAGGGTGTAGTAATGGTAGCCCAGCTTATTGCTGTCAGCTAGTGGGAAAATAATAGCATATGCCTGAAAGAAAATAGAAGGGCAAATACGAATCAGTTGTGACTGCACATCCTTCTAGAAGGTTTCCTAACATAGGTGTGGATATGTGTGTTGGTGTTATGTATACATAAAGAATATATTTTTTATTTATTATTTTTTAAATTTATTTTTTAATGAATTTATTTTTTTATTAGAGTACATGTGCGAGTGGGGGACAGAGGGGGCAGAGGGAGAGATTCTCAAGCAGGCTCCACGCTAAGCACAGATCCCGAAGCAGGGCTCAGTCTCACGACCCTGAGATCATGACCTGAGCCAAAATCAAGAGTTGGATGCTTAACCGACTGAGCCACCCAGGAACCCCAAGAATATTTTTAATTAGAAAGAAAAGTTTTTTACTAAAAAAAAAAAAAAGAAAGAAAAAAAAAACCAAGAAAAGTTATTTACTGGATTACTTTTATTCTCTCCTTACACCAAACCATCTTACCCCTCACTATCAAATTAGTCTTTATAGGAAACATGAGTTTCATTACATAATTTCTCTACTTAGAAACCTCTTCTAGTTGTTCTATTATTTCCTAGAGCAAAATTGCTTACTGAGACATTCTGTCTTAAGGACAGGAATAGTGTCTTCTAACTTTTTGGCTTTTCTAGGAGTGCTTAACATTATTATTATTATTTTTTTTTTTTAAGATTTTATTTATTTATTTGACAGAGAG